TCTTAGAGGTTACAGTTGAGAAATCCATAACCCGTATCTCTCATAGTCTGCAGTAGACATCACTTTGAGAACAACTTGGGAATAAAGATATCCAAAGGGTCTCCACAAATTACGATGAATAAAAGGAGCATAATCAGAAGTGTCAATAAATCTAAAACACTGATGTAAATTTAAATCATTATTTTACTGTTAAAAATAATAAGAAAATCAGTAAAAATAAAACAGGTTAATGGTCATTTCTTTCAGGGATAAACAATGACATTTTATGACATCTTTTTCAATAGCAAGTGGGGAAAAATCTTTCATCCTCCAAAATGAATTTATCCCAAGAAGTGTGATAAACTCAAAGCATTAACAGTGTAGGAGTTTCTGAATTAATTTTGGAATGCCAACTGCTCCAGGACAAGGAAGTCTGCCAGGTTCTTTTTTCATTTCCTTTTTTTTTTTTGTCTTTTCTTTGAAATCATATTGAAGCTAATAGCAGTGAGCCAACAGCAATTACTGGTTTCTTTGTTTTTTTTCCCCCCTTCCCCCAAATGAATATGGTCTCCCCTTTAGTTAATGGTTTAAATTTTAGAGAAATAAGAGCTGTGACATGAATAATATATGCATACCTATGTTCATTATATCACTTTCACAAGAGCAAAAAGATGAAAAAAAACCTAAATGGAGGAATGGATCAACAAACTATGGTACGTACACACAATGGAATACTGAGCAACATTAAAGAACAAAGATGAACTGGGAAATATCTTATAACATGGATAAACTCAGAGGACATTGTGCTGAGTAAACTTAGTCAATCACAAAAGGACAACTATTGTATGAGACAAGTGTTATGAAAAGTCAAGAAAAGGGTTCCACAAAAAAAGATCTTCTTTGATAGTTACCAGGGGTGGGTGGGAGAGGGAGGGTAAACCACTGCTTTTCTTTTTGTTGTTGTTGTTCATTGCTGATGTCACCAGCACCTAGAACAGTGCCTGGCATGTAAAGGACAATCAATATGTATTTGATATAAGAGTATATGTTCAACTTCACTTGATTTTCACACCCAAATTCACATATCCAAGCTACACTAACCCAAGAAAACTCTTCCTTAACCCTTGAAACCATCAAGGGACTAATAGGCAATGGGAAAATCAGGCTCCTTCAATGAGGCTATTAGAAGCAATTTTAAAATGTTTGTTTTTCAATTTATTATACAAGTGGAGAATAAGGAAAAACAATG